TGCCCTCCCTTTATGTTTTATTTCTGAATTAATGAGCGATCATTCACCTGAGATGAACCTCTGGGTCGTTACCTTTTCTTTGCTGCGTCCGTACCCCTGTAATAGCATTACTACCTTTTACTTGTTGTGGAGTTATTTAACATATAAAGATGGTTTGGTCCTTTTCTTTACAAAGATGGCTACAGTTCATGTTCCTTGATGTTCTATTAAAACTCTAATGTGACGTTTTACTACTGTAGATTGAAAGTAGAGTGCTTTAGGGTGAGATAGCCATGTGGCAAGAAACACAAAACCCTTCCAGATTACCTTAAAAAAAAAAAAAGGAAAGAAGAAAAAGGTTTTAAACAACAGCAACAACAACAAAAAAAATCATTGTAACACTATGTAAAACTCCAGATGATAATTTAACTGACTATTAAATGGAGCTATTAGTAATCCCTGGCTCTGGCAAACTGGAGTGTTTGTTTATAGGTTTGGTCCTGTTGATGTCATCTTTTGGTCGCGGATGAAACACTCCCAGCCTTTGAACTTGGGTGAGTCTTCACACAAGTTTAGCATTAGCCTGTCTGCCCACTGGGTTAGCCAAGTCCCAAACCACTCAGCACACACAGACAGGGCCATGTCCTGCTCCCTGCCTTGCCCACCTGCTCTGCCGGGCTTGGGAAGGTGTGGATGTCTGCAGGCACCTTTGGGTTTTCGTGGAAAAACTGCATTTACACATCCTTGGCAAGGGTCTCAGTCTGCAAACCTTCACAGGGGCTGGGAATTTGGAAGCAGAGTCCAAAAAAGCTTCTTTGAGCTGTTTTATTTTAGTACATAAAGTGGATGGGATGGTGCTGTCTGGTGGTCAACCATCCCCTGAGAACATCCTGGTCCATCTGGCAGACTTCTGACAGGACTAGGAGCATCATGGATATTAACATCTTACAAATGATGTGAAAACCAGCACCTGGACAGAGGTGAGAGCTGCAAAGGATGCCTTAAAATCCACTCAGAGTGCAGTGTTGTGTCTAATGCTCAGGCCATCAGGACTTAAAAGGGCTGGTCCTTTGGCCAAGCCCAATGTGTATTCCCACCTGCCCTGCCAGATGGGTGGGAGACCTGGGGAGAGCCAGGGATTACTGCAGGCAGGCAGACAGGATGCCTGGGAGGACACAGGAGAGTGGGAATTCAGGGGCTATAGCACACAAATCCATAGGAAACCAGACTTCATTAAGTCTCATGGAACAACTAGATTTTTATTTTTTTTTTCCTCTTCCTGCTGCTAAAATGCAGGAAACTAAGCTAAAAATACACCCAATAACTTTCCCTCTGCTATTTTCCCTGAAAGTTAAGTGCTGTGGCTGCCACTGTCTCGTCGCACAATAACCTGTGGCTCTGGAATGAGATGGAAGGAGGAGGAGGAGGAGGAGGAGGAGGAAGAGAAAGGAGGGACAGGATGGGAAAGCAGCTCCTCACTTGGTTACTGCCATAGACAGCTGCTCTTTATGGTTTTTTATATGCAAAACATACAAGTGGGGTCCTGGTGGCTTGGAGCTGTGGGGGACCCCTTAATGCACTGTCCTTCATGGCAGCAAATCTGGCTCCTCAAAATGCATGATCTGGGGAGCTTTGCCCTAAAGGGGACATTCAGTGTCACCAGGAGATGCTGTTCCTCCTCTGGGAGTGTTGAGAGAGTCCATGCAAAGACCAGACACGAAGGAGAGGCTGGCGAGGAGCAAAGGGAGGCACATGACCATCAGAGATGGATGGAAGAAGAGCAAGGTTAAAACACAGGACAAAGGCTTTTTGGTGTTTCCCAGTCAATATGTACAAAGTTTATCTGGTTACTTAAAAAAAAAAAAAAAATCCCCAAATCTTTAAGCAACTTTTTTGATTGTCTTTGGTTTTTAATTCTCTTTCCAGGATGTCACACGGCACGGCCCTCTTGGTTCCAGTGTGAGCCACCCTGTGCTCCCCATCCCCAAGGAGGTGGTGTGTGAATATACACACACACACACACACACACACAAACTCACAAACTTTTCCCTGCATTTAAAGTGTATTAATCACAAAAAGTGATTAATCACAAAAAGTGATCAGCCTTGGACCAGTTTGTAGCACAACCAGCAGAAAACCTTCTGCAAAAGTGTTCTGGCACCTGGTGGCACAGCAAAAGCTGCCTGGGTGGGAGCCTTGAATTGTGGGGGGCATTGGAGGTGAGTGTTGCCCTCCAACCCAAAACCCAAAGGCGATCTTCCACTGGGCTGGGACAGCTCTGGGTGAGTCCATAGTTTGGGGCAGAGGAAAAGCATGTGGGACTGAAGGTGCTGGGATCAGCCAAACCACCTCCCTGGTCCCCCTTTGGCTGAATCAAGGAGACAAAAGAGATGGAGGATGAGAAGATTATTTATTTTTCATAGATTTTTATAAAAAATAATTATCAAATACAAAAAAATAAAAATAGCAGCAGCCTCCGTTGTGAATAAAACCCTAAAGGGGACAAAAACCGCTCAGTGTCGCTATAGAAGAACAATATTTCGGTACGTAGAAGCTGTCTGGTCATGAGAAGCACAAATGTCTACCAGCCAAGCCAGTGCCTCCAGTCCCACCCTCCCCGGCTCCCCTGTCAGTGGGTCACAGTCCCTTCCCTGCACACACAGGTGAGCAGAGACAAGATCAGGATTTTTGGGCCAAAAGGGTAACAATTTGTCATCTGAACATGTAGGCATCCAGGTAATGCTGCCACCAGGCAGGAAAGGGTTTGGCATGGCACGAGGCTGGGACTTGAAATTCTCTGTGTGTATGACCCTCATACCATGTCCCCACCATCCCCATTGTGGGGGGGCTGCTGGGATCCCCACTCCATCTCTGTTAGGACCCCTGGATCTCCCCTCCCCTGCACTGGTGGAGCAGTGCAGGCTGCCCCAAGCTGCACCCCTTGGGGATGTTGGGCCAACTTTTATTTAAATTTCCTTGGGCTTATCTGAGGGAGGTTTTTTTACTGAAAAGCTGATCATCTGACAAAAAATTGTAGAATTGAGAGTGCCTTTTGGGTGAAAACCCTGGTGTCACTCGTGTATGATGGGAACAGACGTCAGCGTGTCCCTGCTGCAACAGGAGACGGGACTCACTGTCCCCCACCTCTCCTCAAATCTCTGCCTAGACCAGGGATCAGGAGCACATGAGGTCAGGAAAGGGCTTGGAGAAGGACAGGGCATCTCCTGCCTGGATGTTGGTGGGATGTCCACGCACCTCTGCCCCTACTCCTGTTTTCTGGTAAAGCACCACTGTAGGAAATGCTGACAAAAAAAGGATGGGGAGATCTAGTGGAAGCCTGACGATGCCTTGAAAATCCCCAGTCTCTCCACACTGTGTCACCCTCTCTCCACCACTCCTTCACCAGACAAACCCTGGCTTGGAGCCTGTCTCCAGCAGCACAGGCTATGTGGGGAGAAGGCAGCAGGGCAGTCCAGAGTCCCATGGTCCCAGCCTGCAGCTGAACCTGGGGACACCACGGCCTGCACTCCTACTCTCTGGTCCCTTCTCTGCTCTCTTCTTCTCCTTTCTCTGCCTCTTTACAGCAAAAAACCTCTAGGGATAATCCCAGCAGGAGCCAGGTACCTTCCCTATTGCTGCCTCTGTGGGGCTGGGTCCCAGCTGCCAAGCTGAGCTTCTGGGAATTGATTATGGGGGCAAAGTTTCTTGTGGACTTCTTTGGGGCCTGAAGTGAATCTGAAGATTTTCTTTTGGTGCCTAAAAGAGCAAGAGACTCGTTACAATCTGTTATGTCCAGTGTGATGGGCTTGGACACAGAGGTAATAATGATACTACTAAGGAAAATCTCAGTGGGAAAAGATGATGCTCAGAGTCTCCTGACAGGTTTTTTGGGTCTTGTCTCTCCTTGCATGACAGGGTCTGATCTCCTCTGAGAACTGCTGACAACACTGTTGAAACTCAGATGTGGGGAAAGGGAAGAAGGACCACCTCATCCTCCTTCAGTGGAGCATCACACAGCTACTCTGGGTTGCCCACTACATCCCTTGTCAGCAAGGCAGAGAAGGACTGTGGTGAGTCTGCTCCTTTTGACCATGCAGTGACCCCATGGACACGTAACCCTTCCCAGAGGGCTCTGAAATAATGTGTGGTGGATGCCTGTGGTGCCCTTTGAGTCCACTGTGCTCGCTGGGATGATTCAATGGCACAGCAGCGTTTTTCTCAATCCTGATCCAGGGCTCTAGGCAGAGCAAGGCAAAGCACTGGCAAATCCCAAGGGCCAAACTTGGTGCCTGCAAGATGCCCAAACCACCTTCAGGTGGGAGCCTTTACCCCCTGGGAGCTCTCTCCTGGTATGGCCTGGGTGTTTGGCTTCTCTCTGTGTCCTCCTTCCAGCTCCCTTTCAGCAAGGAAGGGGAAATTCCCTGCTCCTCCCGCCCCGACCTGCGCTTTTCCCAATGGTTTGTACTTCACAGCAGCATGGGTGTGTGACAAAGGATATCCTTTCTCAGCTTCATCGAGAGCAAAGAAAATATAATATATATTTATATATATATTATATATATGTATATAGATATAATTAAGTTTAAATATTTGCAGAGAGATCACAACTACCTCGACCTTGCTAAAAGAAGCCTGTACAGCAGAGGGGGGGTGAATAGTGACAAAATCCAGAGCAAAGACAGACACCCAGATGCTGGACCAGGACAAACACCCGTGGCAGCACCTGAGCTCTTGGTGTGGACCCCAGCCCAGCGTGTGGCTGAGGCGGCACCAGACCCCTGGCTGAGCCCCTCGAGGGGGTTCGGGAGGGAGCAGCTGTGGGGAGGGGACCGCTCTGCCCTCCTGGGCTCCTCGGTGGCCTCGATCCTTCCCCTCCGTGCACAGCCGCCTTATCCCTGCCCGGCTCTTCCGTGGCCTCCTGCCCCCTCACATCCCGCCGCTCCCCAGGGGCCCCCGGTGCTGGTGCTGCCCCTTCGCTCCTCCGGCGCTCGCCTGACCGAGAGAGGCCCCTCCTGGTGCTGCTACTGGTTCTCCTCGGCCGCCGGGTCACGGCACGTGCACTCGTCCTGGTCGCAGTCAGCAGCGAACGGGATCACCTGGGGGGAACAAAGGGAGAGCTCAGCCTCTGCCCTGGGATACCCATCTCCTGGTGCCCCTACGCCCCTGCAAGCCCCCTGCACGCTGGTATGGACAATAATAATGGATGTGTGGACAGACAGACACTCTGGGCTGCGCCCTGTTGTTGGCGTTGCAGAGGCTGCCAGGCTCCGAGCTCACTGAGAAAGGGGCACAACCTGCCCCCAGCTCAGTTTTATTTGTTGCCTTTTCCTTTTTGTTAGCTTGTGTTTCATATGTGCTGAGCTGGAAAGGACCCATCAGGATCATCAAATCCAACTCCTGATCCTGCACAGGACACCCCGGCAATCCCACTCTGTGCCTGAGAGGGTTGTCCAAATACTTCTTGAACTCTGTCAGGCTTGGTGCTGTGACCACTTCCCTGAGGAGCCTCAACCACTATTGGGGTGAAAAAGCTTTTCCTGATATCTAACCTAAACTTCCCCTGATTCAGGTTTATGCCATTTCCTCTAGTCCTGTCACTGGTATTTAAAATTTTGCAGCCAAGGGTCAGCTTGAATCTTGTGCCCCAAATGTCAAACCCTGGGAAGGAGTCTTTCCTGGTGAATATAAGACATTTGGACTAGGGCAGGCAGTGGTAAAGCACCTCTAGATTTAAGTTTTACTTTTGCCCCTGTTAGAAAGCCCCTTCTGTCCATGTCTGAACCCATGAACTCAACCAGGCTCCCAGCTGCAAAGCTGAGCTCTACACTACCCAATGCAGTAGCCAAGGTTGGTGCCTACATCCTTGTGCATTGTGGATTAAGAAAAGCCAGGCAGGATGGAGGCTCTGTGAGCAGGAACAGCCTTCAGTGGGGCAGGCAGTGTGTTTATGCAGCACCACCCACCAGCTGTGCTGCTTTGAGACATCCCAGGCAGGTAGGGAGGCTCATTGCACGTTGCTTTCTCTGCAACGACTGCATGTGGCAAAGCAAGATGATGTCACCTTAGCTGGTGGCAGCAGAGGAAGGAGGGCACCCACCAAGCATCTGACTCCTGGTTGCCAGTTGCCTGGTCATGGGCTATGGGAGCTGAGAAAACAGTTTCCTCCAGAGGTTTTATACACACCAGGCTCAGAGCCAAATATGGAAACACATTTGATTTTTCACGGCCTGGATTAGTCATGAGCTGGAGTAGTTTTTTTTTCTTTTTTGATGATTAAACTCTGTATTCCTGCATCTGCCTTAACAGAGATGTGCTGGAGGCTTGTTGAGCGGAAGATCTGGGACCTGTGGGGGATGCAAGCTGGGTCTGGGTCTCCTGAGAGCCATGGGACCAGATCCTCCCACCTTCCACAGTGAACCCATCCTTTATTTTGGCCATGCCTTGCTCCAAGATGTCATGATATCGTTGTGGGGATTTCACTCATCGCTTGGGTGTAAAGCTTTTTCTTTCCTATCTCAAGCGGATCTTCCCAGGATTTTATTTTTCCTTTTCTCTGTGTATGTATGTGTGATGAAAGGAAAAATGATTCAAGCTCCACAACAAAGATGAGAAGATCCAAATTCACATATTTTCGCAGTGAGAAATTATCTCATGCCCTATGATTTGTTTTGCTGTTGGATATGATTAGGAAGGATGGGCTGTGAATGCTGGATAGTGAGTTAGATGGGAGGGAAGGTTGTGATGGGAGGCAAAGAAGGGTCTGTACAACCCCAACGCCAAGTTGCTCCCTCTACACTATTCCTCCCTCCTTCCTTCCCCAGAAGAGGGAGGAAAACATAACCCACAGCAGAGGCCAGTGGACCATACCAGAAATCCTCTGAGACAGCTCGATTGCACGACAAGGTGACCTGGGACTCACCGTGTCTAGCACTATGTCCTGTGGAAGTCGTTTCTTTGGGACTCATTTCCCAAAACAAGAGGGAATCCTGTGAACCTCAGTGGGAGCTGGGCTGAGGTTTCGATCACGCTGGCCCAAGTCCAAAGCCCGCTCCTAATCAGTGGGATGATGTCTATCAGCTTCAGCTGGCTTTGGTTTAAAATCATGGGTTTGTTCTCCGTTCATGGGAGAATTCCACTGCAGGCTCGGTTCCACAGCCAGCACAGCCAAAGTGCAATGCTAGCAGTCACCCCTCAACCCCAAATCCTGGCCAGTGCCACAGAGGGTGCTCTCTTACCTTCCTGGAGGACAGTGTGGAGGCGCAGCAGTCCCCACCATCATACTGGCAGTACGCCCGGTTGTTGATGGTGTCACACCAGCCGTCTGCTTGGAAGGGCTAGGCAGGGAAACAAGGATTTGTGAAAGGGTTAGTCAAAAGCAGAAGGTTGCCTCTAAAAGTAGAGATCCCAAGTCCTCAGCAAGGCCCCTTCCACAGTGCCCAACCCCCTCTTCAAAGCCTAAGGGTGCCAGTTATCCTGGCTGCTATGGATGGAGCAGTGGGTGTTGCGAGGCCAGCAGCTGGAGGATCCAGAGAATTGTGTCAGAAATGTTAAATGGCACAAGCAGCCATTCAGAAACCCATTTTATTTGTTGTTTAGTTGCATGAGTCATTTGATGAGAGAAGAGAAAGAAGCATCTGGGGCTGAGAAGCAGCCAACCATGGCTGAGGAGCAATCGTTGTGATTGCTCCAATCACAGCGTTGTGTGATGGGTGCAACCAGCAACGTGCATGAGAATGAACTGTTCACTTGCAGTGAACCGTCAGGAACGGTCAGCAGCTGAGCTTTATTTATCACAGATACACACACCAGCACTGCCAAGCAGCATCTGAACTAGGTAGCTGAATGGAGAAGCCATTCATTAACTGAGCGATTAGTAATGAAATGCTGCTTTTGCTTCAGGCTCTGGGATTGGTAGGTACTGGCCCAGCAACCTCCTCCAGGAGGACTGCTGTCATCAGAGTCAAGGAATCCCATAATGGTTTGGGTCGGAAGGGACCTTAAAGACCATCTCATTCCAGCCACCCTGCCATGGGCAGGGACACCTTCCACTAGCCCAGGTTGCTCCAAGCCCCATCCACCCTGGCCTTGGACATTTCCAAGGATGGGGCAGCCACAGCTTCTCTGGGCAACCTGTGCCAGGGCCTCACCACACTCACAGTCAAGAATTTCTTCCTAATTTCTAGTCTAAACCTGCCCTCTACCCATTTAAAGCCATTGCTCCTTATCCTATCACTCTATGCCCTTGTGTAAAAGTCCCTCTCCAGCTCTCTTGGAGCCCCTTTAGGTACTGAAAGATGCTTTAGGGTCTCCCTGGAGTCTTCTCTTCTCCAGACTGAAGAGGACTCCTGGTGGAAACCTCGGCACCCCATTGTTCATGGAAGTGGCTGACCCACTTCATTGGGTCTGGTGGCCCCAAACAACAACAAGCTTCCGAAAATACCCAAACTCAGCCTTTGATGAGGGACACCCACCTGTAGCACCCCTGAAACTAACGACAGCTGAAAAATGTCCCTGCACCGTGATTGCCCTGCATCCACTGTGCCAAAGCCAACTTGTGGGACTGGTGATTATACCAATAATTCACATGAAGAAGCCATGCCAAAAACAGGGAACCAATGTGGCTTTTTGTCCTCATGACTCAAAAGGAACAGAAATGGGCTCAGTGCAGACTAGGCTAAACTTTAGGAAGTAGCAGTAGAGGTTACAGCAAACCACCAAGTCTGGTCTCTGCTATCAGTACCACAGGCCAAATCCAGGCACCACAGAGAGATTGCATTTGCCTGGAAGATCTCAGAAGAAGGAGGAACACACCTGCCTGCAGCTGGGTATCGAGGCACAGCCAGATTAGGTAGCTCACTCAGAAACAAGACGATATTTTACTCCCATCATTGCTGTCACAAATCACATCCAGGAGACCAGGGTGCAATTTCATCAAGGCAACAGGGTTAACAACCCTCTTTCACTGAAAGGCATCAGATGGGTCTTAAATGATGGTGATCATAGAAGGTCTCTGAGCCTGGAAGCAGCTTTGAGCACTGGGAGGGCCAGGGCAGGGATGTCGGGGCTGGGGGTGCAGGGATGCAGCCAGGGGATCAGCCGGGGCCACTGGCAGGGGAGAGCTCTTCTGGGTGTGATTTGCTTTTGCAGCCTTCCACACGGTGGAGTTTTTCCTTGAGCTCTGCTCCATATGTCATGACTCACCGGCAAAACAACACCCGCCGCTTCGGCAGTTTCCATACAATTATGGGGAGCTTTGCCCATCCTGGCTGCACAGGTCTGAAACGATTTCCAGATCCTATGTGCAAGGTGGGGGGAGGACAGACACAGGGACAGGATGAGGAAGGAGAGGCTCTCAGTCTCTCTTTACACCTATTAGGGCTAACTGCCCCTTCCTCTCAACCCACAGGAGCCCGTTCCCCACCCTAAACAAATACAGGCTCCTATGGCAACACTCGTTGGGGAAACTTAACAACTCATGCTCCAAATTACATTGGAAAAACATATGAGAGGAAAATAGAAAATGACTAATTGGACTCGAGCCTCAAGAGAGCCAGGCACAGGGTTTGGGGACTGCTGTCCCTGCTCCTTGCCTTGTGTTTGGAGAACACAGTGACTCCTGTGCCTTTGCCCTGTTGAGAATCTCCAGCTGGTTTCATCTTTGTAAGCAGAGAGAGAGCAAAGTGGTGGGTCACCCTCGAGGGCACAGAAGGCATACATCAGTCTCATTTAGGCCTTGCAAAAGTCACTGCCAGGTAGGACATGGGCAGTGCAATGGATTAGGAGCAAGTGATGTGAGAGAGGAAAACCCACACAGACCCTGTGCTTCAGATATGTGGCTCTGCAGAAATCAGTGCCAGTGGTGGGAGAAGGGAGGTTTGCCCAGGCTGGCGACTCACAGAAACACTGGCAGGAGAAAGGAAAACACCGATGCCCAACTGTGCCACACCTGGATGTGATCCAGGGAGATGGATGTGCATCACCCAGCATGGGGGGAAAAAAGGGCTGGTTGAAATACCTCTTATAAATGGGGAAAAAGTGAATAAGGTAATTGCTGCGAGCGCTCCACGCCGCGTTAAGTGGCGGGACTGCTCGGCCAGGCCGAGTGCCACCGCGGCAGCCGGGCTGCGTCAGCGAATCTCCCCGCTCCCACCATCCATCTTCCTTGTTTGTTCAGTCAGGAGCTTCAGCGGGGCAAGTGTTAGCACGTGGAGGTGCAGCCTCTGGCACCGCCGGGCCCGAGCCCTGCGCTGCCGGCTCAAAAATAGTAACCACGAATCAAGCGCTTGGCAATTTAAATAGGCTAAAAAAACACAGGCTCTCAAAGCCGGGAGCAGGCACGAATGAAAAGAGAAGCAATTAAAGGGGAAAAAAAATAAAAGAGGGAAAAATATTGCAGGCAAAGGAGGGATGTGAGAGGGAGGACTGGTTAGATCCTGATGCATCCTGGGCAGAAGCATCTCCGAGGGCTTCAGTGGTGCTGTTTCTCTGAAGGCTGCTAGGAGATGCCATGCGGGGAGCAGTGCCTGTGCACAGTATTTTTCCACAACCCTTGCAGAGTGCCTGGGCTGGCTCCCTCCCCAGGGCTGCCGTTCTGCCCAAAGGGGAGTCCCCAGTGCCATCAGAAAGGCAGGCAGGGTCCAAGCACTTTTCTTCAAACCCATGTTATAAGTAGGTTGATTCAGTGTAAAAGAGCATGAAAGGGTGCAACAGGTGAGGGAAAGATGAAGAATAAATCACAGATTCCATCAGTCATACATATTTCAGTGCTGCATCACAGGTGTTTGCTTAACCCTCTTTCCCAGGAATGCAGGTTTTGCTCTGGCTGAGCAGACCTGAAGGCTCAGCACCTTGCTTTTGGCCACTACCCCTTCCAGGTGCTTCAGGGGAAGGTGGAAAAAAAGAAAAAAAATAACCAACAAACCAGCATTCACCCGGCCAAATGTGTAACCAAAGAGCTGGAAGACTCTTCTGCTCTGCCACAGAGATGGAAAGTACTTGTCATTTCTATCTGCCCATAGCCATTGAAATCCCAGATCCCAGTTTCAGGGAATCAAGTCCAGCCTTAAGAAGCAAAACGTTTTCTCCCAGCCTGGTCCTGGGCTTTGTGAGTGATCCATCCAAGGAGGGTGCATAGTTTCCTTTCATGCAGCTTCTAAGTCAGCATGGATTTTGCTGTCCTTTCATTTTTCCCTTTGGGAATTGGCATTTTGGGCATCAAGCTCAGACCCCTTGCATGCTGACACAACCATGTGTGTCCCTGCAGCTGAGGAGTTGCAGGTGTCTTCATCCTCCTCAGCTGTCCCTGTCAAGGCCACTCCAGAAAAACAAGGGAACCATCATTTCATAGGGAAAACAGGCAGGGACCAGCCCTGGAAAAGCTGCTGCTGCCCTCAGACTCACGCCTTGTGCATCAGCCTCACTGCTGTTAATTCTGCTCTTGCGATGGATGAGTCCTTAGTGGTGGAAGGATCAACTGGAAACCCCAACCCTTTGGTGGCAGGGGGATGTCAGCTCAAACCAGGGCTCACAGAACCATGGGACACGAACCTGAGCTGCCCCAAGGCTGGAGAGGGCTGCAGCTTCAGGGGTCCGAGATGTGCAAGAGAAGCAACATCCCAGGTGCTGCCTGTGGCAGGGAGGAGCAGGCAGGGATATGTGGGGAAAGGAAAGCATGGAGAGGCTGCAGCCTTGTCCAGGGAGAGACAGAGGGCAGCTTCTCCCTACCGGATGCCTTCCCTTCCTCCCCACCTCAGCCACTAGCCAAGATATTTCCAAAAACTCTGGGAGGTCCCTGGGAGGACTTGAAGAGTGCCCAAAGCCTTGTTAAACATCTGGTTCACTTAAAGCACCAATACATCCACCACCTCAGCCTGGGTCCCTGGAAATTTCCCCTCCCATGCCTGGCCCAACATCCTTCTAAACCACTGTTCCTCTACAGAAAACTGGGGCTGGTGTCAGTCCCCAAGGGCACCGCTGTGACAGGAGCCAGTTAAAGTGATGCCATTAGCACCGTGTCCCCAGGACACATCCCTTTCCTTACACACACTCACGCTGGTGAGGCAGAGAGCCCGGCCATTCTTGGCTCCCCCTGCTTGCCCAGGGAAGTTGACTGGGAATGCAGACTGTGGGAGGAAATGACAATGTTCATTGTTTGGATTAAATATTTTTCTTGGCCCTCTCTCTGTTGCAGTGTGTCTTTTATTTTATTTTTTCTCCCCCCCACACCCCCCGCCCCTTGACACCCCAAGCACATTCACTTTCCCTCTCTCCTTCCTGAGGCTCTCCAGCACGCAAGGAGGAAATCAGCTCTGAAAAACACAGGGAGGGACAGAGA